CTAAAGCTTTGCCCACTTGCCCCTCATTTTATTTTGGTAAAGTATCTCGAGACCGCGGCTATCTTTCTCAAATTATCTGTGTGCTGAAGTCTGCACAAGTGTTGCACTGCAATTTTTCAGGTCGGTTGGGTCTGAGATTGTTCTGGAACTCCATTCGAGATATGTGTGGGTTTTCAATTTCCAATCGAACAAAGAAGGATTATCGTCGGTCATGTGAACAAAAACCAAAAATTAAAATAATAATACCCCCCCATTAACTGCGGGATTTGAGGATAGAGGGAAAAATAATTAAAGAGTGGCCGGTGAACGGCAAGCGACCGGGGGGAATACGGAACTATGGAGGCGGAAGATGGGCGGCCTTTCGCACCCTGCATCGATCACAGAGGCCTGTGCCAATCGCAGGCCAAGGAAGCCTGACACCGTTGCTTGCGTCCAGCCCAAGAGCTCCACCGACCCGACGCTAAAAGGCAGCTAAGGTGGTGAGCATGCCATACGGAGTACACATGGCCTCCTGGAGGTTGATTTTTCAAGCGATGAAGCGGCGCAGCAGTTGTGAACTGAAAAGGGGAGGACCTTTTGATGACGACGACCTTCCCACTAGCCCTGTTCTGGAAGGGTATCTTCCGGCGTTCCAAACCTACCAAACAATGGTACGCTATACGAACCACAGTGCTTACTATCGACGACAGCTCCCCAGTGTCCACAACCGCAACGGCAACAAGCGCACCCCCATCTCATGCTAGGTACCTGAGTACCATCTCTTCAGGGCTTAGCATGGACTGCAGAGTAAGTGTGCATAGCAAGGTGCAGTACATGAAAAGTAAAAAGTAAGTCGCCCACAGTAATTCCGACCATGCATACATACATGCACATATCTGTCAACTGATTAACGTCGTGATTGAGGCTTCATTTACCCGGATTTTTTTGACATACTATGGGCATCAACAGCAGCATGCACGCATGTCCGGATACCTACAGGCCATGATGGAGGCCCTAGTACTAATCCCAAGATGATGGCGATCTTACGCGCACCCGCTGCTAGATTTAGTTTCAATTTTCACATGGGTACGATGCACGAGAGCAATCGGATGCTTGTTTGTGTTTTGGGAAATGGATTGGAGGAGCTTATCTTAGTTCAGGGAAAAAAATGCCTCTGTTGCAATGTGGCCGGGACTGTCTTATCACTACTTTTATTACTTTGGGTTTTATGTCTCATTTGGAGTATAAATTTTGAATGAAAAAAAAAATTAGAAAAAAAAAAAAGGCAAGGGCCTCGAAGAGTCGCTCTGATCAAGTCTCCAAAAATGCCAAGAGTCACTAAGCCGGGTGGGCCCACAGGCTGATTGCACGGAAGTACATGTGGGGGCGGACATGAAATCCTGACGCTTCAGAGGCTGCTCAAGAGAATCTGGAGATTCAAGCGAGTCCCGACGGACACTCAAATTAAGTAGATACTAGTAATGTTGTGGCTACGGCTCCGAGGCTGCCTCCTGGGGCACCAGGAAACCCCAACCAACGAGTACAGAGTGACACGATCGCTGATTGCACGGGTAAGTAATCGCAATTCCTTTCTTTATTCGTATCCATATCTATATTTTTTTTTCTCTTTTCTTTTGGACCTTTATATTATTTCCGGACCTCATTTCTTTTGTTGTTTTATTTATTAATCTTAAGTTGCGTTAGAAATGCATGGTACAAAGAGTAGTTATCGATACGCAACAGAAACAGAAGAGGGTAATGATCGATCAGCCGCTTACCTCCTTACGGTTTAGGGTTACACAAGTATCTCAGGTTCAGCAGTAAGTAACATCCTCATCGAGGTGAGCAAGGGAGAATCATCCGGCCGAACGCCGTTAGGCTGTTTCGAGTTTATTTGGACGGGACCGAAGAGGGAGGGGCGTGGAATGAATTAGGAAGTTATAATTTGTAGTTCTGGAATTATTGACATTGTCTCATGCTGCTTTTCGTCTCCTCGGAACTCGAGCATGGTAGCATCATCATTAGGTAGCTGCTCAGTGTGCCCCTCACGAGCGGGTGCTAATTGATGGATGGCTCGGGAGGGGTGGGTTGGAATGGCGTGTGGCGTCTGAAAAAGTGGGAACAAGGCTGACGGGAGCAAGTCAGATCGGTTGTTTCCATACCGGAGTGTAACGAGATCGAGTCGCGCGTATTATTGCGTTAAGTTTGCTACTACCAACTCCGGACTTGGGACAAGAAAAAGAATATTGATTTACCCAGAAAGACAAAAAAAAGGCAAAGAGAAAAGGCAACTAGAAAAGAAAATAAGAAAAATTGTAAGTCGGACCATACTTGCTGTGCAGCAGCCTAGAATGATTATTTTTATCATCATCTTAATTCCTATCACCATGTATGGTCTCATGGTTACAATAAACAGACGGTTTGCAATGTTTGTTATGTCTTGATGATGTATGAACATACAATGCAAGCATACTATCTACCTCGTAGACAAACCCACTGATACTAAAATACTGGTACCATACGCACTAAGTGGAGGTAAGCCGTCAGGGCCCGGCACGAAGCTATCAAATTTAGATTGGTTTGCCTGTGGAAGGAAGATCATGGATTGATGGCTGATGCTCCTGTCCGTCTCAAGTCACGATGCCGATGATCCTCGTTCTCGGATGACTGGTGGGTATCCTGGAATTGCTCGTGTGAGTGAAACAAGCTGACCTATGTGGTACCTGAATTCGACCTCGACGAGATCCCAAACCTGGAACACGACGTTAGCTTCCTTAACTTCCACTAAACTTTTTCCTGTTTTGAAGAAGGGGCACTATGACCGAAAGGCTTAAGAGAATAACCCACACAGCCGCCGTCTTCCCCCCGATGAACTAAACCAAACTAAACTAGATTTGACTACTGTACTGTGCCTATTCCTCCCGGGTGCCAATCTTCATTATTCCAGACCATCCAAGCCAAACTTTCCAAACCTAAAGAGGTTGGAGTGGGTTATGCGACTTTCTGATACCAATGGGGAATTTTAGATTTAGGATTTTTGGTTGCAGTCATGGCCTTTCTTCCTGATCCTTTTTCCCCTTCTTTTTTTTTCGCTCATAACATTTTTTTTATTTTTTATTTTTTTTTCCTCTGTGGCACTAAGTGATCACTAACCTCCATCATGGCCCCGAAAAGGAAAAGACAGAAAAGAAAGGTAGCATTGGTTGCGACAGGGCTAAAGCAAAAATAGAAAGCAAGCGATCAATGATCGTGCCCAACCCGATCTGTCACAACCATACAGGCACACACTCAATCCCCCTGGGGACACACACCAACATCCACACACAATCGGTCTCTCGCCATTCCCTCTCTGGTTTGATGTTGTGGGCAGTGTCAACAATTCCTTAGCTGCATGTGTCTCTGACAGAGCTTTTTGTTTTTTACCTTTTATTTAATTTCGTATTTCCTTTGCTCTACCCTTTTGTTTTCTTATTTGAGAATTCTATCTCTATAGAATAATACTACTACTAATAATAATACCAATATCGTAGCCATGGTTCAAGACTGTTATAATTTACTAGTGCCATTATTTTAATTATTATCCTTATTATTACTTGGAGTACTTGTGATGAAAATTATACATGGCTATCAGCAGCATTCATCCTGCCTCTGCAACACCTACATACATAGAAGTACTAACTAATTCTACCGTTACCTTATTAAAGACAATTGTCGATTGACAGTCTAGACATGTAGTACTACTCCCCTCTCCTTCTCTTTTGTTTTTTCTTTTCTCTTTTTTTACGACCTCTTCCCCTCCACCTTCCTCTCTTTTACTTCCTCCCCTCCGATACCTTTGGTTCTTTTAGAGGGTACAAGAAGTGAAGAGCCGACTATTGGCACGCGGTGTTTTCCATTATCATAAATTGTCGTCACATCACTCGGCGGGTCACTCCGATTCTTTGTCTTTGTCTTTGTCCCTTCTTATTTGGGACTTCTTCTCATTGATTTATAAATTACTGAATCTTTTTCTTCTTTTTCTCTTTTTTATGAATTTCGAAATTTAAAAAAAGTACCCTTATATTTAACATTTTTTTACGATCTGTTCCCCTCGACTTCTCTTGTTTTTATTTTTTTTCCCACTCCCCCATTACTCTCAATCAATCCGGAAGCAAATCAAAAAATACACCGAGACCAGGACTCGACGTGGACACGCTCAACGGTCATCTTCTGCACACTATTCTTTTTGCGTTTGAAGGAAAGCCCTTGCTTTGCCCATACAAGGTTCGTCCGGCTTCTGGGTCCTTTCATTCTTCGTTTCCACGCACCGTCGCTGCATGCTGCAAATCATCCTTCCCAGACATCTAATCTATATCATCTCTCGGCCCCAGTCCTAAGCTCCAGGCTTAATCTGGGCTTCATCCCACTTCCCAAGGCTGTCACATTCACATCGCATCGTTCTCCTGTGTCCTGCATCCACCCCTGGTCAATATTACACCACCTTCCCGCTAGTTACAAGCTCCTTTTGATGTCCCCACCATTCACTCGCTGTCCTAGACTCTTGTTATTCTTTATTTTCTTTTTCTTTTTATTTCTATTATATCCCTAATATTTTGCCCTCCCACCCCCAGTCCTTCCATTCCGTATCAGGGATAGCTTCCTTTCTCTGTCCTGACGCCTGTCGGCCTGAAGGATGGGCCTCCGGTGCAGCTAAATAACAACCCTGGAACCCTCCACATTACACTGGCTCTTGCAGCACACCCTTAATCTTTCATCGAAAGATCTCTTACCTCCAGGTCTAGAGCTATAGCCTAACGAGGTACTACCCTGCTGTCAGCCGCTCCTGGCCCGTTCAATTCTGTCATCGCAGTCGTGGCCACTTCGAAATCGTTGCCGTCTCTCAAACCCATTTTTTCCAATCTATCCTCTCTCCAGGAGAACTCTAATAGAACCTTGCCTAAACTGCCTTTGGTTACAGTGTACCAGTCGATTCCGTCGATCATAACAAGATAGTCCGTTTACAGACCACTTAAAGGTCAGTCATGACCGGCATGGTTCAGACTGACCTAGCCCACCCATCGACGTCCAAATACAAAGACGAGCCTGCTGACGACCATGTAAGTGCTATTGCTGTTATTTTTCCTTTCCCCCCCCCCCCCTTTTCCAAAGAATCGCGTTGGACTTGTTTCAAAGTCACATTTCAATAGCACTATTTCTGTTCAAGGGCAACCCAGCTTTTGTATGAGGCTTACCACCAGAGACTCGGCAATAAGCTAGAGATCCTGGACTCTTGGGCCTGTACTCAAGAACTGTCGTCAGTTATACCACCTATCTTTCCAGTCCTGACCACAGAGAGCTCCATCCATGGGTATGCTTGCCTATAAGCTGATGCAGAACCATGGTCCCTCTTACCCTTTGCTATTTTGTTTCAATTGGTATCTTGACTACGTCCGGAGTTGAATCCCTACCCTGAATCCGAATGTGGATGCGTTCGCAAACCACAGGCCCCAGCATGAACTACTGCCTGTATCACCGAGCTATGAGATACCTGAATGCGTTCCGCTGTTATACCTGACCCCAGTCATTGAGATACTGCGTCGTTCAGCCTTCTCAAAACTATCGTTGGTGACCCTTCCACCAATATGGCTTACGTGTTGAATCAACATGTTTAGCACCAGGTTTGTGCTGAGCTGCTCCGTGAAATCTTGGATGACTCTCCATGGGGAGTAAAGGAAACAAGAAATTTGGCGTCTCCTTTCCTATTGGATTCAGTAGTCAAGTTGCATGAAATGTTTCATCAGAGCTACTCCTGTATTTGAGGCATAGATCTGCGACTGAAACTAACCTGCAACATCTTGCTACACTATGGACATGGCTCTATGGAGCTCCCCTACATCCAGGACTTGAACGATCATTGCCAACACAAAATGAGTCAACCTAGTTTATCAGAGCGTGCAATTTCTCACTATATTCTGTTACCCTTCCCTGTTCTGCAAAGGCCCATGGAGACTTGTTCCAATAGCCTTTCTTGAAATATCGGGCAATAGACAAGAGCTAACTGGGTCTGTTTATAGCTTCGGCACCCTGGGCATCAAGGCCCGCCACATCTTCAACTTCAACATCCAAGACCAGCGAGTCTTGTCCAACATCAAAAACACCCCAACTCCCCTCTTCAGCCCAGTGCAAGTCTATCTTCTGGATCATACGCTCCCCACGGTCTGGGAAACGGAGTTCTACACCATCAGAACCCGTACGGACCACCCACGCAAGAACCAGCGTATTACGCATCCCATCCTCCATATACAGCAGCAAGTGCACCAGCACAGTATCCCTCAAGTGGTGAGTTAGAAACCTTTGTGTCCCCTATATCTTCCATAGGCATAGCCAGTCATATCATCCCTGAAGCTAAAGCAAGATCGACTCGCCAATCGTTTCGGAAATCCCATCCGGGCCGTTTTCTTTCGTCACTGACTCGTTGCCAGGACCCCCTGAAATGATGGCAACAACCACGCACATGCAGAGGCCTTACCCTCCAATCTACCAAACACCACAATCCGGTTCTCCAGCATCGGTAACCTCTCAGTCCCATGAGCAGCACAGCCGGAATCTTTACAGTCAATCACCACAGATGGCATCGCAGATGTATGGCTACCAGCCATATTCCCCTATAAACCCCGTGCAGCCTTCACCGTATGCACACACCTCGTCACAGCACCCTCTCACGTCTCAGTCGATGATATTGCCTCACCAGACCAGTTCTGCGCCGATACCCCATACCCAGGCACCAACTGTCACCATGGCGGCTAGCCCCAATACAGTTACGGCTCATCAACAGCCGACGCCTCCACAAAGGACGGTGCTGAACCCTCCACTTCCTGCAGCGACCAGCGGCCCAATCCCTCCAAGCGGTGTGCATCATCAAAACTCAGCGATAGGAGCAAGCACTAGCGCTGCACCAGGCCCCATTCCGGCCACCACCCCACTGGTCGTACGCCAGGACAGCAACGGCGTCCAATGGATTGCTTTTGAGTACTCTCGAGATCGTGTGAAGATGGAATATACCATCCGTTGCGATGTTGAATCCGTTAACGTGGATAGCCTCAGCCAGGAATTCAAGACGGAGAATTGCGTCTATCCTCGAGCCTGCTGCAGTAAGGACCAATACAGAGGTAACAGACTAGTCTACGAAACAGAATGTAATGCTGTGGGATGGGCTTTGGCAGAGCTTAACCCAGCATTGAGGGGGAAACGGGGTTTAATTCAGCGTGCTGTTGACAGCTGGAGGAATAGCAATCAAGATCCCCGACTTCGAAGCAGGCGTGTGAGAAGAATGGCCAAGATGAATAGACGGCAAGGGCTCCCAGCACAGCCGCCTGCTCACATGGCCACTACTTCACCTGTTGCACCCGGTGTTCCCAGTGCTGTGCTAACAGCTCCCGGCCCACGTCCGTCATTGGGTCCTCTAGCCATGGGCCCTCCACAACTGCATCACCACCACGCTCAACCCGAGGGAAATACGAGTAATGAGGAAGTAAGCGGTATGTTCCACCACGTATGATTTGTTTTCGCCACCATTCTCAAGATTGATCAAATGGTGGTCTTGTTTTAATATCATGTACCATCCATCTGTATTTTCATAACACCGTGCGGAAGGATGCCATTTTGAACAGGGGAGGCCTTGTGGACTGGTGGATATTGTACCCTATGTATTTGTATCGTGTCTGGAGTGGCCTTCGTCTTTTTTATCGTTTTACCCATACCCTTTCGTGTTTGTTATTTTACCATCGACACTGTACCCTCGACGCCCTGAATCATGATCCGCAATATGCATTTCAGTGTAGGCTAATATACATACTGGTCTGTTCATAATACAGGTACCGCTGATTTTGCGAATGGTACCAATCGTCCACCTGCCTCGGACAGTCATCCGACCCCTGGGCATTCACCTACGGAGATTCGCACTGCCCAGGTATTCCACGGCTTCCCTGCCTTTCCGCCTCCTGTAGGTGGTGCTCGGCCTTCAATACCCCCCCTCATTCGAGATAGTGGGATCGCCACCCTTGGGCGGCACCCAGCTGTTGCGACATCTTCAAGCAAGGTCGAGGAAGTCGAGGACGACGATGACGATGAGCACAACCCAAGCAATGATGCTTTGTTCGGCGTATTTCCTGAGGGCAAGCGCCGCAAATTTATACTCGTCGACGATAATCAGCGGGGTTGCCGCGTTCGTGTGAAAGTTATGCTGGATCAGGTGGACATGAATGAAATCCCCGACTCATATCGAATGTCGAACTCCGTCTACCCTCGAACATACTTCCCCGTTCAGATGAAGAACCCCCCCGGCCGAGTCGTCCCTGGCAAGAGATACATCAAGGATGAGAATGACACGGATGATGAGGATACCCCCACTGTCGGCCGCATTCTGGTCCCAGCTCCCAGTATCGACGGAGATAGTGAAGTTGCTGTCCCAAAACTGTCTCGAGCACGTCGAAAGAATGAAGTCTTACTGAACGACCTGGGTTATCGGATGAGTTGGAGCCAAAGTCGTGTGTTCGCTGGGCGCATGCTATTCCTGCAGCGATCTCGTGCGTAATTCCCCATATCCGTTTAACATTCCTTACATATGGTGTCGACGGATCGGGAAACCGTCCGTCACCCACACCAAAGTCATCGACGTGGCTTCCACACTATGAGGTTAAAAAGAATTGGGAATGATTGCAGACGCTAATAATTTTCTTGGAAATAGTTGACGCGTATCGGAACAAAATGCGCAGCACTATGCTGGCTGCGGGCCAGGAACCGACTGCAATCCCCCGGCACTTCGAAACCCGAGCCGGAAAACGAAGATTCCTTGAGCGCAAAAGACGAACAACAGCTCCTCTGGGCCGGACCAGTGGGGCAAATACATACTCTGCATCCCGACGCAGCGCAGAGGAAGTTGAGGCTTAGGAATTCTAGGTCCATATAGACTGTCGTCGATTGTCGAGACCGAAACCGATGCTTCTCCTATTATCTCTGCGTTCATTCATTACAGTACTTTTACGAATTCCGTGCTTTGATCCGGCAGTGAACCTGGGGTATGGAACATGGTCGCTGTGTAAAATATATAGAGATCATGGGCGTCTCCAGAACCGGAAACTCTGCGGTTTATAGCTGATTTATGGTTGGTTTATGGGGCTGTGGTGTTTGGGAGTGGAACACCATATTTCTTTTCTATATTTTTCTTTTTCTTCTTTTCCTTTGCTGTACGACACACTGTTATGACCGTAATGACTATGCCAGCAGGAAGATATGATTACGACGGGACTGGGACGGAAAAATGATTTCCTTATGTGATACGGATATTATGTATGTTGCCAATGAATTACTGTATGTACCATGAATGAATGGGATGCATGTCTTCGCGATCGTTCCTTTGTTTGCTTCTTTTTTCTGCATATTATCGCCAAACCTTCCTGACTGCCTTCATCCGAATGAATATTTATAGATCTCTCAAATTAAGGTTCAGGCAGAGGGCGGGACGGAATGCGACGGGAGAGCAATCCCGAGACATCAGAATGTTTTCGATGCCTGATGGTTATTTCCAATCTAGATTAGAACCAATATCCGAAGAGAGAGGGGGGAGGGAGGGAGGACTAATTAACTGGAAAAAA